CTCCTACCTGGCAAGATCTGTGTGGCTGGGAGAGAGTGACTGAGTCATTTGTGAATGCTAGTTATGAATCTTATTCTCTCTCCCTGGGACCCGGGTACATACCAGTCGTCATGTTCCTGCAAACTGCAATGGAGATAACGATATATAGCCCTTACAAAAAACTGCAAACCCCCAAACACACCCTGAAGAAATAAGGCAGAGGAGAAAGAAGGAAGCAGTCTTCTGTTCTGCTTCCATGAACCAAGCAGCCACACAGCCCCGTGGCGGCCAGCATTGTGCAATGTCCTGGCCCTGTCTATCAGCACTGGGCTTTACTGGTGCCTAAGGACATCTCAAATATTCTGTCCTATATGAAAGACCCTTGTCGTACCAGATCAGGGGTCCTCAAGCTTTTTAGACCCGAGGCACCCCGGATAGATTTGAGGCTTCTCCTGGAAAATGCTGGCTCTTAGTTTTCTCCCTTTTTTTGCCCACCAAAAAAAAAAATCAGGAGTTTTTCTGTTGCAAAGACCTGAGAAAGACCATGGCTATGGATTTCTATTGGAAATCTCTGGGTTTATCTTGTGAATTAAGGTGGTAAACCTAACAGTGCTGACATTGTGTGGCACCCTCAAAAGGATCTCGAGGCACCCCAGGGTGCTGTGGCATCCTGACTGAGAATCGTTGTGCAGGCTGAAGGAAAGTGAGGCTGTAGATCATGTGTGCCTTGGTAAAAACCCTACTGAATGCATATTGTTCATAACAATCGCTGTGATTCTACTTGGACATAAGTGGGCTGACAGCTTTCTGAAAACAAGGACAAAGATTTTATGTAGAGGAGCCTGGGCCTGATTCTGATTTTTAGTTATGTGTGTATGAAACCAGAGTAAATGGAGTTTTACCTAAAATCCAGACCTGGTCCTGGGTGCTCTTTAAGATGCCAGCTATGTCGTCTCTACTGTGTAACGATATACCTGGCCTTACAACTGATGTCAGCTACTGGCAAAGCACAAAACAATTCAAGGAACATTTCAGATGCATCTTTCAGCTTCTCAGGATGCGTGTCTTTCCAGCTGACATTACATCATTGCGGCCTTTAATAATTTAGCAACTCTCCTATCAGCTCTAATGCAATCTATGTGTCAGACTGGTGCCAGAACAGGAGCAACCGCACTGGGAATCACATGTCAGTCATTTTCTGTATGTGGTGTTTTGCTCCCCACACAGCAGTGCAAGGTGTGAGCCAGGTCCTGTCCTCGCCATTCACCAAAGAAGGACAACGATTGCCCGGGGATGTAATGGCCCCTGCTCATTACCAGTTTGGCTCTTTCCTGGTTGCGTCTTCTCAGTGAGTGATGTCACCCTCTAGTACCCGGCACCAGAAAGATTAGAGCATCTCCTGCTCATGTGTGCTGTTTCCTGTAGTCATGAGCAGCAGGACCAACCTTTTCAGCAGGTGCACCATAGATTAGCCTTGCACCCACTCTGAGTGCCTGTACAATCCCCTTCCTCTGCCCATATGCTGCCGCCAAGTTGGCCACCCCTGATCTAGCCCATCTTAGACCTGGGCTCTCCACTGTCCCTTCTCTGCACCCCTTCCTCTTGGCTGAATAGCATTGTGGCCTGTGCTGTTCACACACAATCTTCCCTACAGACCAGTGGGAGTAGTGCTGAAGTGCAGCTGTAGCCCTGATGCTCCACAGAATGTACGAGAATCAAGATTTGTTCAGTGAAATCTTTTATTGGACCAACAGTGCAGTTGGGAGAAACATTTGACAAGTTTTCGGGCACAACACACCTTTCCTCAGGTCTGGGAAAAGCAGATGTAGCCTAAGCTAAAGTTTAGGTGGAAGAATTACCTTTGCTTAGCTCTGTTATATAAGTGAAAACTGTCCCTGAAAAAAGAGGGAATGGTGCAATACAGGTCAGTTCTAACTACTGTCTTTCAGCCCTAAACCTCAATAGGAGCTTTTCTTTTCTCCTGTGTTGCTAATGAGGCTACATGGATATGTTAGCGGGGAAGAGCATCATGCAGTTGTCTAGCATTCGCAGTGCTGTACGTCCCCTGTGGTCTAATTTCTGGCATCTGATTCTTTTTCTGGCTGTTCACTTCAAAGTTTACCCAACAGGCAGCAATCGCAAAGCAAGAGGTGCTGCCCGGGGTTTCTGGGATGGACCAGGAACCAAGAAGAGATCCTGACTTTCTCATCTACAGCACCCTGGGAAGGCACCACAGGCCTGGAATATCCCACTGAGTTGCTGAAGGCAGATAAAAGCATCATTGGGTTTATGTTGCATCAGCTCTTCCCAGCTCTCTCTGGCACAACAGTCCCTTCCCCGACAAACTAAGAGGACTCCTCTGGCTCCTATAATTGCATTGTGCTGTTTTCAGTCTCAGTGACAGTCTGTCTCTGTGTAAATGTCTCGAGTTAGCGATGTAACAGAGACCTGAATCCTCATTCCCCTCTGTACTGCCAGACAGCTCTTGGGGAATACACCTGGACTGAATACACTGTGGGCTGAACCTTTCATAGATTTCGGTCGGGCCTTTGTTTGAGCTCATCATGAAGCTTGTGGGATCTGATAACAAAATTCAGCACCTCCCACCCCCGGAAGGAAGTGCTATTGATAGCAGAGCAGTACAGTGCAGCAGAAAGCTGGGTCTGAGCTAATGGTAGTTAGGCACAACTTGGTTTCCTGTTTCCAGTGGAGTTTGGCAAGGCTGCACCCTGCCACCATCCTTGTTCAGTATCAGTATTGAGCCCCTGATGGATCAGCTGGAAGAAGCAGCTGTCAGGGGCATTGAACTGAACATCACTTTGCTCTGAAAGGTTGATGTCTCTGTCTTGTTCACTTGGTGGAGTGACTTGCTGCAGCTGACGGTCAGTTTGGAGCAGTGCGTGTTGGCCTGCATGTCAACCAGGACAGAATGAAGTCCCTAGACAATGACTATTTAATACCCTCTCACTCTAGACTATAACCAGCTCATTGTTAATCTGCGCGGCCATGATACCGAGCAAATGGCAACCATCAAATACTTGGAAAGCCTCATAAGCAGTTCTGGAGGATGTCTGAAAGATGTGGGTGCTTGTATAGCAGCAGATGTGTTCTGGGCTCATCAGTGGCCTCCGTGGAGACACCCTGACATTAAGCATCACTGGGGATGAGCTGAGAAGTCAGCTCCCCCCGCAGACAACTCTCATAGAAGAGGGACAGAGATCTCCCTTGGGAAGTGAAGCTGGTGAGGCCTAAGGCCGGTTACCGCCAGACTGGGTTGTATGGATTGGGGGCTGGGGTACTAGCAAAGAGGGATTTCAGCCAGCTGCAAGCAGGAGAAGGGAGTTTTCTATGAGCGGTTGTGGGGAAGCAGAGAAGTGACCACAGGAGGGAACAGCGGTTGCTCAAGAAGCATTGCTGAGCAACAGGAACTGAGCAAAGGACTGCACAGACACTAACCGAAAGAGGCGTTTAACGTGTGAGAAAGAAGTTCCTGTTCCGACCATGCAACCACAGCCTTGTCCATCTGCTGCTTGGCGCTGGAGGGCAAACGGCCATATAAAGTGAACCTTATAGTCAAGAACATTTTTAAAAAGCATCAAAAGCACTGGTTCTCAGCCAGGTGCCGCAGCACCCTGGGGTTGCCTTGAGGTCCTTTCAAGGGTGCCAGAGGGTGCCATGAGTCAGTAGCACAGCTAAGGAAGCACAGAAGCAGTGCTGTGCAGGATCAGACCCTGCAGCTCAGTACTCTGACAGTGGCAGATGTGGATGCTATAGTGGGAGGACATGAAACCAGGGATTTCTAGAGTGATCCATCCCCCATTCGATACCTTCCCTGGCACCCACCACTTACTGGGCCAGAGATGCCATAGGACACACAATTCATGGGATAAACCCAGAGAGTTCAGATGGGAATCCCAAAAATCAAAAACACTCTGCCCTGCTGTGGTCTGGCTGAGCTCTTTGCAGCAGGAAAATGACTCTAGTAGTTTTCTGTAGTCAAACAGCCAGTGAAAGCTCAGAGCTGGCATAGTCCAAGGGGGGTCTGGAGTCTAACAAGGGGCAATGGAGTCTAACAGGGGTGCATCGAGACTAACAAGGAGTGTCCTGAGTCTAACAAGAGTGTTGCAGGTTTAACAAGGGGTGTCCTGAGCCTAAGAGGGGTGTATCGAATCTAACAGGGGTGCCTCAAGTCTAGTAGGGGTGCCACAAGTCTAACAGGGGTGATGCAAATCTAATAAGGGGTGTCTCAAGTCTAATGGGGTGTCCTGAGTCTAACAGGGGTGCTGCAAGTTTAATAAGGAGTGTCCTGAGTGAATCTAACAGGGGTGTATTGAGTCTAACATGGGTGTATCAAGTCTAACAGGGATGCATCCAGTCTAACGGGGGGTCCTGAGTCTAACAGGGGTGCCATGAGTTTAACAAGGGATGTCCTGTGTCTAATAAGGATGCATTGAGTCTAAAAGGGGTGTTTTGAGGCCAGTAGGGGTGCCACACGTCTAACAAGGGTGTATCAGGTCTAATGAGGGGTGTCTTGAATCTATCGGGCTATCCTGAGTCTAACAGGGGTGAGTTTAACAAGGAGTGTCCTGAGTCAATCTAACAGGGATGTACTGAGTCTAACAGGGATGCCCTGAGTCTAGTGGGGTGCCACGAGTCTAACAGCGGTGTCTCAAGTCTAACAGGAATGCATCCGGTCTAACGGGGTGTCTTGAGTCTAACGGGGTGCCCCGAGTCTAAGAGGGGTGCCGCGGGTTGAACCAGGGTGCACCGAGTGTAACAGTGCGTTCCCGGTCTACCGGGGTCCTGCGCGCTGCACCTGCCCGCCTCCCCGCCAGGGGGCGCGCGAGCGCCGCGCCCGACCACTGGACCCTCCGCAGCCCCGCCCCCTGGACGTGCTGCGTCACGCCGCTCCCCCTCCTCGCCACCTCCAGGGCATGACGACGCGCCCCTCCCACCCCCGCGGCCCCGCCCCTCGCCGGCAAGTCACAGCGCTCTCGCGAGACGTGCGCGCGCGGCCTCCGTTCCGTGCCTCACCCCGCGCCTCAGGCCGGGCCGGGCCGGGCCTTTCCTTCCTC